CAACCCCTAAGATTTTGTGATTTTGTGATTCTGTGAATACTATTAGCTAATTATGGCAATCTTTGTTGCTGTATTAGAAAGAAGCATCAGGAGGAGATAACTGCATGATATTACAGAAAAATCTAGTGTTCAGAAACACTCAGGCAATAGCTGACAAGAGTCAGCTTCATTCAAGATCTAATTTCTTTCTACTGTGTGATAGAACAAATGGTTTCAAGTAGCTCTTTGTAAAAATCCTTTAAGGTACATGTTCCAAGAAATAAAGAAGTGCTCTGGGAAAAACAACCCTCGCCTCTGTAGTTCATGACTTCATCAACAATTTCAATTGCTTCCTCTCTCAACCCTAAATCTCAACTTGCCCGCAGTGTCATAGTCTCTACCCCTGCCTTTGATGCCTGATCAACCCGAAGATCGTCCTCAGCCTCTGAATGGGTTTCAAATCACTCACAACTCACTAGCTACCTGGGAAAAGCTGTAAGCTCATTTTTGTCACACCCCATAATGTGGGCACAACATTGACAGTTGCCTCTTATCCCCAGTCGTCCTTAGCTTTTGGAGCCAGGCCTGAACTATCTCATATTAAAACTAGAAATTGTTCTCAGGGTCTCTAGAAATTGAGATTACATGACTTAAACACTTTTCTTGCAGAAGAAAAACTAACTCCATTTGTGGTTTTGCACATGGCATATTTGTGTTGAGGGATATGTGCAAGCAAAACACAAATGTCTCATCTAAACTGTATTCATAGCATGTTATTCGACAGTAAGTCTGAATCAGCCTTGTATAGAGAAATGAGTGGATGTCATGTTTAGTTCAAATTTAAATGTTTACTCTGCATAGATTTTCTTGTTCAAATAGGAGACTACTTCCATGTTCATCTTCTTTCCTATTTTGTATGTTGTGTGTATAGCGTGTGTATCTTCCCTTCTTTTTATATTTGCTATGTTTCTATATTTAAAAAAAAAATAAAATAATAATTTTAAAAATGCCCCAAACCAACTCTGTAAAAATTGAGTCAATTCTTGTGACAGTATGACAAAAGTCTTAGTTCTTGCTGTGGAGCAAGTGCAGGGTTTCCAGACTGCCACTGTCGCCGAGGGCTTTTTAAATGCTGTTGGCATCTTTATTATTTCAAATATGCTGTATCCCAAGTTTGTAGCCAGAGAATCCAACACAGATTATTCCAGCTGGATTTAAAACCTGGACAGCACCCTCTTCCAGTACTTATTGGGAGATAACTGAGTTTTTCATTCAAATGAAGGAGAGTGGCAAACCAGTATGATCATGTTTTAAAGTGATACAAAGTGGCAGAATTCTTTTTACTAGTATTTTAACTTATGCTATAAAAATTGCATCAAGATTATCGAGGAATTTTATTTTGACTATATCTTGTCCATTAAAAGCTATGTGTCAAAATGGCATACATATGTATTGAATATTTGCTTCCCTCTATTTAGAAAGAGCTTGTATTTATCCTGTTTATGCCTCACATCTGCAAAATGTATCAAGATCACTCACTTGATATTCTTCATGAGTGTCTAGAAAGTCTTAATCTGAGTTTACTATGGCCTTTACAAAGACAAATCTACAGGATCTTCCTTGCAAAGCTCCATGGACTGGCAAGTGAAAACTCATTTTTCTAGTGCTATCTAAGGCCTGGGACTCACTTCTTAATGGGTATCTTTACTTTTTTCTGACCACATTTAAAAAATACCCTCTCTTTTAACTGTATCCTAGCAGGTCTGCAGAATGTCTCTCTAGCTGCTCCTCTTAGTAGATTATTATATTAAATTATCCCAACTTAACTAAGAAATAAAAGTCATGCAGTCACCCTGTCTATCCTTGTGTTAAACTTCCTTCCTGTTTCTCTGGCTGTCCATGCATCCATCTCTTAAGTTCATTTTAAGTGTGGGAAAAGTTAATTACTGTCCTGTAATGGGGATGGAAGAGAGAAATTCATGCCAATCTTCAGGAGAGGAAGCAAAATTTTTGTACTTTCTATTCAGCAAATCAGCTGAACATGTTAATATAACATCTGACTTAGCATCACACTTCTGTCTCTTCTCCAGTGCAGGGACAAAGACAGGTTATATGGAGTGAGTTCAAGTATGTCCCACAAGAATGGTTAGGAAGCAAAGCCCAGAAAATTTGCAAAGGCCAGGCTTCAGTACTTTATTGTGGTAAATAATTGGCAGTGTGTTTTATAATTTTTGGTCTCCTGATGGAAATTTGACCTGTGTTTTATGTACATAACAATGATCATTTTAGATCTGGGGACATGTGAGAATTATCCTTTCAAATCTGTGGGATTTTTTTGAAAAATGAAGATTTGAACAAGTATGCCTGGCCTTTTAGTTAGCAGAGTGTAACAATGATGCGTACAGTTTCTGCTAACCTTAAAGATTAACAGCTCTGTCTATATTTAGAAGCTTGTGATATATTGCAGAGGGTTTACAGTTCCTCTTGTTTCTTCTCTACATAGATGTGTGGCACTATGCTGTCCAGGATCCAGACAGAATCATCTATCAGTTTCCATATAATCTGAAAAGAAAACAGCAGGACACTCATATATTGTAGTGTTTACTACACCCCAGTACACTGTGGATCAATGGCACTTTAATTGAATCATATGATCTTGCTCTTCTGTACAAAAAATAGCAGAGCTGCCTTAGGCATCTGCTCCCTCTTTGAGCACTCTCACCTTTTCCAGATTTCCTAACCCAGTTTGGATTAAAGATTACTAATCACACTATGCAATTTTTTTTCTGTCCAGGTGGGTCTGGTGCATGCTGAACTGCTCTGGGAAAGTGGATACCTGTACTTTCAGTGTCACACTTTCACCCAAATAATAGTAATTTCTGAAACTGTTTATCTTGACACAAGGGGGCTTTTGGAAAGTGAAAATTAAATCCTGGGTTGATTCCAGTGCATTAAATTAATGTTTAATGATGTGTCCTCAAAAAATAAAAAGTTACAATATTTTATCAGTGTACTCCAATGAAATGCAGTCCATTAAGAGCTCAAGAGAATGAACTTTGAAAATTAGAGGAATGGTGTCTTGCTATTTTAAAGAAAAAAAAAGAAAACAAACAAAACCAAAACAAAAAGCGTTCCAGGGCAGAAAGCCTAGAAACATGTACTTGTTGCTTTTTCAAAGTGCCTCAGCATTTAAGGAGTGGAAAACAGAGGCACTGAATGAGAAGAACAACAAGAAAGTAGCATCTCCAGTAAGGAAGCCCACAGTAGTTGGTGAGGACAATCCTATTTTCATAGTTTTGCCAGCCTGCACTTTGACAGTGGATAACTATGTTGGTAGCAGTTGCCCTGGAATTTCAAGCACTGATTAACATTTTGTGCATTTGTATCATATATTGAGCATTCAGATTGTTTGCCACTGACAGATGCTTGTGGTACCAGAAGGAAGTAGTCTGTCTGGGTTATTTACAGGTAGAAACAATTTAACATTTTTGTTCTTTGTCCAGTGCTGCTGCTACTTGTAAAACATTTCAGGTCCAGGATTCCACCCCTTCATAATTTCCAAATGTGGGAATTAGATTAGAGCAGTAAAACGTGGGTTTGTGTATTGATTTTAGATACAGTTTCTGGGCAGAATTTGATCGCTCAGAAAACACACTCATTTCCAAGAATTTGCTCAATCCCTTGTTCACTTTTTGCCAAAACAACCTGAGTAACAGATAAAGCGGGTAGGTGTGACGAAGACTGGCAAATAATTTACTTTAGGCTTTAGGCTCTTCCATCTTTGCAGAAATCATTCAGATGACTAACACAGGGTTCCTTGCTCTACAAAGCTGTGCCACTTTAAAGTGTCAAAACAGAAGAGAAAATGGAGTAACTGTATGCAAATAGTAAACATATTCTTTATAAAAGGGAAGAAATTAACAGATTTTACTGAGGAACAGGTAAGCCAGGTGTCACACAGCAGCTAATGCCATTTCACAGAATTTGAAGACAAAGAGCCTAGTTTTTCTGGAAGTGAGGTAACATACATATTCATAGTATGCCTGTTCAAGTAGAGAATGGGAGAGAAAAGGAAAACATGGATTTGGTTTATCTTCTGCTGAAGCCTTTAACTCATTAAGCAATTCTGGCAAGAAACGATCGTCCAGGGCATTTCTAGATATTTTGATGACACAATGAAAATGTGAAGAGGTACTAAATCCAGCTGGTCTTTAACTCCCACAAGAATTGAAAACAGACAATGGATTTTTGTCTCTTGAAAGTCTCATGTTGTTTGTTGCCATGTATGAGATATGATAACTTAAAACTCCCAAGTTTTCCCTGTCCCCGTGGTCCCCTAGAGAGGTCTGACTCCAAATGCTGCTCTTAAGCTCAGCACCCCTTTGCCTACTTGGATTTACAAGACTATATTTTTTTGAAACCATTTCAAGTGGCAGCTTTCAGTGCTGACTCAAAGGACCCCCTCTTTCCCTTCCTTCCATCTCTCCTTCGTGCATCATCCCAGCATCTTACCCAAACCTCACCCTGTGGTGTGGGTGAGGTTGCCACAGCAACAGCACACACTCGGTCACATCCCCTGTAGCTACAGAGGTGTGAGTCAGTTTAAAAGTGTTACCAGGTTTTTATTAATCTGTGCTGTGTTGTCCAGCCTTCTGCAGCCACTCCCCCATCCAGTGCTCACAACCAGCTGATAACTCTCAATGGGCTCTTGGTATTTTCACCTCCATCCTTTGGGATGAAATCTCTGCAGACCTGTCCTGGACGACTGGTCACCTGCCAGACCTGCAGCACAGAAACCAGCTGGTTCTTCAGCCATCCCATAGACATGCCAGGCAGCCAGACAGTAACTAAGTTGGTATTTACCTTTCAAAGGATATATAGAGCAGCAGCAGTGAGTAACTGCTGAAGAATAAAACTGAAGTTACTACCTACAGTGAATTGTAAAGCCTGGTTTTCATTCTGTTAAAGCAGTGAGGTAAGTTTTCTGTAATACCTAACTTAAAACTCTGCTCATTTTTCAGACATGGAGATGACTTGATTGTGACACCATTTGCTCAGGTAGGCACAACTTTGCCCTATTTCTCACATATTCTTGCAATTTAAAGGCCAAATGGCCAGACAAGTCGTTTTCTGTTGTTAATGCCATATACGGTGTTTGCTTGAAACAGGATAAAACTGCCTAAACAGAAAGTTAGAAACCTCCAACTCTGCTATGTATACCTTTCTTTTTTAATGCTTTTTGATTATCTGAAAAGTTGAATTACAGCAACATGTTAAATACCTTCAACGGATCTCTTTTCAAATACTGTAGAAGACAGTCATGATGAAGACAAATCTGTGCTCTCTGTTATTCTCCTGCTTTTTTGTAATTTCTCCCTTTGAACATCTTCTAAGTATTCAGTACAAGGTAATTTTTAGATGTAAGATAATTTTTGACCCAGAATACTTATGTTCCTTTACAAAACCATCCCTATTTTTTTATTTTTTTGCATTCACATTTTGTTTTATAAAATATCAGCTCAAAGTTCTATATAATTTAGATCGGTTTAGATCCACAATATTTAGCAATGGACCTGTTTTGTCATGTATGAAAAGTTAACACTGATATTCCTTGAATTCAGGATGATAGGTTGCATCCTCTAATAGATAGGATTGAAAGTTAATTCAGTGTAACTACAGGGAGGTGAAATAAATCTGGAACGCTAATGTGATTGAAGGTGAATGGAAAAAAGAAAGGTTGAGTCACACAGTATTCTCTTAAGAAGAAAGTGTCTAACTTCAGACTGAATATGCAGATTGCTCTGGTCTAATGATCAACTGTTAAAACAATATTAATTTAATAGGTTATTATATATTTAATTGTTACCAGATTCAGTATTTATGAGACACTGGCTGACCAAATTCTTCATATAAAGAGTACCTTCATATTTTATTAGCAGGGAAAAGATTAAGCCTGGGCCTTTTCTAAGAATACTTTAAGATCTCTCAAAAGGTAAATGTACTTCAACAATAATGGAAAAGAAGAAATTACAGAAAAAACAAGAGGGAGAAAAAATTAAAACCACTTATGGTTTTAGTTCCTTACAAAATATAAAAACCCTAACTCTTGAGCACAGAAAAACCCTCCAAACTTTATGGTGATCAAGCAATCCAGTGATATTAACTGTAACTGAATTAATGTTTGTTGTCACCTGAATTTTTCAAAATACTCCACATAGATAAGACATGTTACAGTATACCTAGAAAACAGTAAATACTAGATGCCATTTATGAATATTTTTATTTCCTGCGACAAAGCACCCTATTTATTTTAAGATGGCTTTGTTTCCTTGTTGGCCTTGATGGATGTGCTTCAGCAACTACAGTAGGAGCAGTTGAATGTTATTACTTGCACCAAGGTGCTGTAGTTGATTGTCTGAGAGCTTTTAGTATTTCAGTGCAAAACCCTGTTAGGAGTGGTTTAAATCAACCTGTTTTCATTTGTGTTGAACAGGAGAAAGATCACTCACAGAGTGAGTTATCACATCACATTTCCTGATACAGGGGAAATGGAGATGCAGTTGAGAGAACTTGCTTAAGAGGGGAAGTGAAATATTATTAGACTGTTGGGAAGAACTAAGCCCTTATATAAAAATTATTTGAATATGTAAAATCTTATCCAAATGGGATCTGCTCACAGGCTGCATTTGCTGCTAGGCACAGGGCATGTCCCTCTGACTTACATTAGCAGTATTAGGACCTCACTCAGGACTTCAGAAATTGGACCCCATGTGCCAGTATAATGTCTATACATTGTACAAATCACACTTTTAATGTCTTCATAGTGCAATATTTCATCATGCAGATGCATTTTTGTGTTGCAAACAGCCAAAGCACTGTTTTAATCCATTCAGGTCTTCCTGGTGGCATTAGATCATAGTATGATCTAATGTCTAAACTATCTGTATTTTCTTCAATTGATCAAGAATCTTGTTTCATCTGATCATGAACCACCTGGTGGTAATAGTTCGAATTTTAGCATTTCAGTTACTAATCAGCACATCACCGTGTAATATGTCACCATTTGTTACCTGGTGGCAAGGTGGCAGGCTGTGTCCCCCAGTACAAGGTAATGTGGCCCCAGTACAAGATAATATTTATAGTAGAATGGAATTTTGTAAGCTAAAATTAAAAATTCTGTCAAAAGGATATTATTAGTTGCACTTCCCTACATTGTAATATATTGCGACTGCTATAATATAATTATTTGTAGAATTTCACTCTTAAAAATAAAATAATTGAAGTGATTTCACATTCAAGGACCAATTATGTATTTTTTTATTAAAAAAACCTTTGTTTTTTCAAATTCACTTGGAAGTGTTTGTGTATAACTTAATTTTGAAAATAATATTATTTACTTAGGGATTTAAACTGAAATAAGTTTGTAGGTGACTGCTCACAAATCTAACTCTAGAAACATTAAGCACACATGGAACCTCTTTGGACAAAAAAACTGTCTCTTAAAGCAAATTATAAGGAAAAAAAAAATTTTTGTACTTCAACTATAATACACTTATAAATATTCATGCCTTTATACAACAAAACCAGTTGTTTACCTCCACTGTTGCCAATGGTCAAAATTCTTGTTACTTTTATACTTATTGCTGTTTATGTAGAGATGTCTTTCACTTGCAAAAACTGTCAAATACGTGCATCTATGCTAAAGCAGTTGGGATGCTGGCCAGATATAGGACATTCATCCCTGAACCTACAAAACAGGTATCACATCTGCCAAAAGAACTAATGGAACATGGAAGCAAATCAGTAGATTTTCTACTTTCTGGAAAGTAACAGATTCATAATATCTCCTACAGTGGAAAAATCTGGTCCATGTGCATAGTGGTGGGAATGGTAGAGAGACCCCCTTGTAGCTCTCCTCACATCTAAGCATGGGGTCAGCAAGGCTTAGTAGCCTCCAGTCATCACTGGCTCTGAGCAGCCCTGCAGCTCTGCACACATCTTTTCCTTGCACCCTAGGTGCTATAAGTCCTCTTATTTCAGATCTGACACACAAATCAGCTAAGTTCATGTGGAATCATGCCGAGCCTACTAACCTTCGTGAAACTCATACATGCACAGCAGGTACAGAATGTTTCACTGCAGTCTAGCAGAGGTAGACCTGGTAAGCATGACAGTACCTGAGTTCACTCCCTGAGGAGACACTTAGCTACCTTTGTACATGTTCCAGTTCTCAGTGCATCTGAATATATAGCAAATTTGAGTATAAAAGGGCTTAGGAACTTGCAGTCAGGAAAAATGACTACATTTTATTCATGGCCTTAGGCAACTCCAGGAGCTGTATAGGTATGTTTCTCTGACAATACTGATACATACAAAGCCACCCCAGCCTGCTGGCACACATAGGGTTAACCGAGGTAGATCGAGAAAAGAGAATTGGAAATATCCTGCAGTCACTAGAGTGTGTGCCTTACCTAAATAGGCTCAACATTTTTCCTTTTACGCTTTCATTCTCCTTCTATCTTTAAATCATATTTTCATACTTCAACAGCTTTTCTTGTATTTTATGTATTCATTTTTGAACTCTTGAACTCCAAGATCTTTTTGCTTCTGCTCTGTTCAAGCTTGATTTCCATCTGTGTATATCAAGCATCTAAACACAGCATTTGTTAGTGTCACTGTACCCCTGGGCATGCAGATTTGATAGCATATGTAATTATTTTTATTCTGTTCTGAATGTAAAATATGTGAGTTTGCATCTGATCTTTTGAAAGCAAAACATAATTAAATTAATACTGTCTAAATAGGCAAGGAATGTATTTTTACTTTTATTTTCTTAACTCATTTGGGAATTTTCTATAAACGCTTGAACACTGCCAATCATTATCTCCTGAATATTTTCTGTCTGTTACAAGCTTTCATTAAATCCTTCTTTTTAGTTCAGCCTCCTACCTGCTTCCTACCTTGTGTATAAATTTAAGGGTCTATGAAAAGAGGGTGATATCTTCCTTGCCTTAGACCTCTGGAACCCAAATTCCCATTCTCACACTTTGTATTCCAAGGACGGGTTCACCAGGAGAACAGCCCAGTCTGGGCTGAGAAACAGCAATGGGCAGCCCCCGCAAAGACACAATCAGTGATCAGTGTTGCTGCCTCCTACCTTTCTTAGTCTTGGTCTAAAAAACTTGTAGTTCCTCTCTGACATTAGCTGAGCTGCTTCTCCCTCATCAGAAAGGTGCATCTTATTCTCCTTACAAAATTGCTTGCATTTATCCAACTGCCTACAGAAAAGAGTGCTTATACCACTAATAACAAGGTGGCAGTCCTCTATAGCCTCCACTAGCTGTAGTCTTGCATGAAATTAAGGCCAGAAAGGAAGTAGTTTATTTAATCTTCAGAGTATGCAGACCTTTCCCACCAGCTCAGGTGATAATTTCTTCTTACCTTGGCCTTCTGCAGCAAGTCCCCAGATCAACTGCGCCCCTCAAAGGAGCCAATTCTGTTTTTTCCTGACACTTTAGACAATGTCATTCCCTTTGTCCTTTAAGGTTTGTGGGGGCTGAACTGCAAATGGAAAATTCTGTAATAATTTCTTATGTATGAATTATTAGGCTTGAATGAGCTTTTCTCTTCCAAACATTATTGCTTTTATGGTAATTTTAGAGAACTCAGTAGTATTCTGTGAAAAATGTTCCTCCTTTTCAAGTAAGTCTGTCTTTAAACAAATAATGAGCTGTTTATGAGGAAAGAAAAAAAAAAAAAGAAGAAATTAACTATTGCCCTTGTATTACAGACATATTATTGTTAAATAATGGTCAAAGGCTTCAGAAAAGCTAACCCTGAAAACCTTTTACAGTTGTTTTGCAATGTCCTTTCCTTCTTGTTTAAGGATAGTGGAGCAGAGATAAGTCTGTCTCACCTGTGTAGAAAGTCAGACTCAATCTATTTTATCTGTTCCAGGTGCTGGCCAGCCTACGTACTGTGCGGAATAACTTTGCTGCATTAACCAACTTACAAGATCGGGCACCCAGCAAGTGAGTGTTCATTTTTGGCCACTGAACTTCTTGCAGTGATACTTCTAAAATGTAAACTAGGAATAACAATTAGATTTTACCAATTTCAGTCCATGTCACCAAACCCACATAGAGCATGTGGATGAGTAATGAGTTTATTAATCCCTTGAAGATGCTATACTCAATAGCTGAGACAACAGACCCCTTGCCTGCTAATTGCTCTTGCACTGCTGTCCTTGCATAAACCTGGAGTGTTGGTGTGCAATTTACATGATTTTCAATAAATTAGTTGTATGTCAAAGGTCATTCAAAGATGATAATTCAGAGAGAGTCTGAGTCTTGCAAGTGAACCAAAGTGAGCAGACAGATCAATTATTGGAGATCTGTACCCAGAACTCTGTCTAACGCATCCGAGATAATGACATCCTACTTATCCGCAGTAGCTTATAATTATAAAGCAGGTATTATAAATACAGCCTTTCTCCAATCATGTTACAGCATCACAGTTAACATTCATGTTAGCTACACTGGCCAACTGAGCTCTGTCAGTCTAATAACTTGTAGCTTTCTTCAGTGGGCAAAACAGTCCACTGAGCTGTTTGTCCTAAAGATTATTATGAAAGGTACATGCAAAATAATGTGTGAAATATATATGCAAAATAGTAGTGTGGAAAATACGTTTTTAAAAAAAGTACTTCAGGTCAGAGAGTGTGGGCAGTGCAAGCTATGTTAGAATAATGATAACTATATATAGAAATCAAACTTCCAGCTAGGTATAAGCTCTAGGTATGATCAGGCAGGTTTTCAATGAACTTGTAAATTCCTAAAATTCTCCTCTCTTCGAATTCCCAATCTGCAAAAAGGTTTCAGGGTCACTCGTGAATTCAGTTGTGAATTCCCCTCTACAGAAGAAAGACTCATCTGTTCTAAATGAACTTTTTCTTTGACAATGCTAGGGTATTCCAGCCCCAAATAATTTTCCAAGAAAAGGTATTTCCTGTTGTATCATCCAAGGATTCAGTTGTCAGTGAGTTCATCAAGCTTATACCTTTGTTTTTCTTTTATTTTAAACAGACGTTCACCAATGTGCAACCAACCATCTATTAACAAAGCAGCTATAACAGGTAAGAGGGATTAATATGACTGTGAAATCATCAAGGTTTCCAAAATGAGTGTGTGTTTATTAAAAGGGTCGCTGAAAACTGCATTTTATAATAACCTTTTATTTCATACCCTTATATCTGTTCTATTAAAGAGGATTTGAGTTATGTGGTGAATCAAACTGGTGACTTTTGGCGTTGTATCATGTTAGCTCTCTGATTTCTGTCTTATTATCCTGGTTTTAATTTAAGTTTTCTTCTAAGTTTATTTTTCCTTACATATCAATGTGTGACCATACCACAAGTAACTTCTTCCACATCAAAATCTTCACTTTATAAGCCCTTAGGCAATGAGGAGAAATTTTCAATACTGACTTATGATTTAGGATGGTAAATCTTATTTCTAGAACATTGGCAGGTGCATAAGAGAAAAATAATTCCTTTGTAAAAGGCACTTATTTCTAATGAAACATTAACCTGAAAACAAGACTGGCCTCATGAATTACATCAACACTTCTGAAAATTTTACCCTGTGGCACTTTTGGTTATTATTTTGTTAACTTGGTTTTGGACATCCTTATGGGAATGCACTTTATTTGACCTCATATTTTTTACATCATGTTAATCCATGTGTTCTTACACTCTGTAGTCTTCCAAGTAGTCACATTCTCTGTGGTGTGTTGCAGAGTGAAAGAGCATTTGCTTTGCTTTTTTAAAATATGCAGACACTTACTAAACAGGCCATTTATCATTTAAACAAAAAAAAACAACACCATGATATTTCCAGTATTTTCAAAATGTCTTGTTAATTGTATAATAGATTTGTAACTCAAGGAAGAAATGTTATTTCAGCTCTTTTGGTTTGTCATGATTCTGTCTTTAGGCTCTGGAATGTGTTAACGTTGTTAGCTTTCTTCATCCAGCCTCACACAGTATCCATATTTACCTCTAAAAGACCCAATCTTGGCAGTTCTATACAATTTATTCTCCTAGGAATTCATAATGTTATCTGAGTCCTTGTGTGTAGGGCTCGTCAGGGAACAGACGGCTAAATTTTTAAATCTATTTTATAAACAAAAAAGAATCCTTAGTTAAGAATGTTCTGCAATCATACATGAATTCATGGTAATTAAATAAATAGGAAAAGGAGACAGATAATGCTTAGATCAATTATAATAACAATCTGTTATTAATGTATCTCCTTAAGAGGTAATTTCGGGTGTTGATTTCAAACTACTCTCCATGACATATTTCAGTCATTGATACCTGTCACACCTATTTTTAATTGCAGAATTTGTGTCATACAGCACAGTCATCCAGAAGTCTATTGTCTTAACTGGAGATAGAAATACTGGAAAATAGGGCTCTTTCTTTGGCTCCAAGTGACGAATTTTAGAAAGCCTGTAACACAGTAAAATCCCTGACAATAAAAGAAAATGTCATGCCAGAAAAGAAGATATGCATGCATTTGAACACACAGCAAACCTACCTTACATGCTTTCCCCCAGCTGTTTGCCTGAGGTCAGGTTCTTTTCTCCAGCAGGAGAAGCTGCTCAGACAGCAGGACTCAAGACACACTCTGATGGAAGATGCCACTGCCCTTTTTAAACTCCCCTTCATCTGAAGGTTTCCATTCAGTTAATCTTCAGAGTCCACTGTACCTGTCAGAAGCAACAAACCATCTTAAGTTTTAATGTTTAGAAGGGTACAGTCAGTGCTGCAATTAATCTAGAAAATGCTTCTGTGCCAAGAAATTTAAAGGAAACAAGAGAAGGCAAAGAATAGCAAGGATAATTTAATCTAATTTAATTTAATCTGATTTCTCAGAGATGATGCTGGAATTGGTGTGCCCAAATTATCCACTGAACTGGGTGAGCTGGGGCCTGTGTGCATTGGATATAATTGGCTAAAAGACTTTGATACAGGAAAGATACTAAGCTACTATAAAACTTGAAAATGGCTACAATTCATTTTGACTGTTGAATGGAGATTGAGGCTGGATCCTATCTTGCCTGCATGGGTTTGCCTATTCTTAGTCATAAACTGGTTTTGATATTTCCATAGCAACAAATTTAATGACGTAAGCACAGAAGTATGCATAGGGGTTTTCTTGGGACATATAAAATCCTAGTAAACGTTGCACTACAGCACGTCCTACAAACCACTTTTTTGAATACACTGTTCTCAGAGTCCATGTAATGAAGTATCCAGAACAATACACCAGACTGATAGAGCCCCATCACATAATCCAAATGGCTAAAAATTTCAGTGAGAATTGATCACCAGTGTAACAAACTAGGTGACTGGAAGGTGCACTGTCCCTAAATTATGTCAAAGCTAAACCAGAAACAGACACTCAAGATGAAGAGTTTATGTTGCTGAGCTTCTTGGAAGAAGTGTCTTTGGGAGGACTGTAACAGAGGAAAGGGAAGATCACAGGAAGCAAAAGTGTAGCAAAACAGAACTACTGCAGAAGATACAGGGAAAACAAGAGAAAGATAAAAAGGGATTTGTTAAAGGTGAGGCACTAAAACAGCAAAAGCAAAAATCTCCCATTTACTATTGTAAGAATTTGTTCCAAGGCATAAATGGAGAAAACGTATTAGCAAAGAAATAAGAAACTGTGTAATTGAGAAGTGAAGAAGCACAGGAATAAAAAGTTCAGATTCTTGGAAGCAACTATGGTGCCCTTAAAATTTGCTGTGAATTTTCAGTGTAAATAATCAAAATATGGTCTGTTCTATTCAATATATCCACATGATCCCCATGGAAAACTGTTGAAAGCAGCTAGTAAATGACAATGTCATCCTTAATCTTCAATTTCAGCCAAGTATGCTATAGCATGCCGTGTGTTCTTGTTGCAGACAAATTAGGGGATTAGGTGGTGGGAACTTCTGGTGTTCAGCTTTGGATAACTGTTTTCTATACGGTGCTTCCAGGCGTGGTGTTCTGTGCTTCAACCAGAAGAGGGGTTCCTCTCACTGTGAGTCACATTTTCCAGGCAGCGATACTACTGGTGTTTAATTTTGAGTTGATGGTACTTCTCTTAACACAGTCAGTGAATTATAAATAACATTTCATTTTCAGAATGATGAAACTAGCTGTGATTCACAGATTGAGCTTGCCAGTTTTAATTTTTGGTTGATTAAAGTGAGCAAGCATTAGATATCTTTGGATTACTACAGTTCTAACATCTGTATTTCTAAATCAGAATAATCTGGATAAGGAAGGAACCATATAAGGTATTTATTGATATGTGTCAGATTTAAAATAGAGAGAATATCTCACAGTTTCTCTGCCCACTAATTACAATTTGCGAATTTAGTATGGCAGCTGCTTTTATGGGCAAAGATTCTGCATGCAAAAGCAGGTAAGTTTGTCTAAAGGAATGAGTTTCTGAGCCAATGAATGCTATCACAGCTACGGATTAACTGGCACGTATCGGTTAACCTGAAACCACAGACACAGTCTGATACATACACATACATTAACTAGGTAGACAGGATAACTAATTCATAGTAATAGTTTTAAAGTGGATTTAAATGTAGATTACATAAGTGCCCTTTATATTACAAATGCAATGTCAAAGAACCTTAGGTGAAGACCTGCATATGTAACCAAAAAGTAATTTAATTTAATAATAAATTAAATAATAATTGCAAACATTTCATTTTTTAGAAGTTTTTTTACAATTTTGCATTTAAAAATATTTTATCAGGTAAAGAAAAATATAGGGAATATTTCAATAAAAAGCTACATTTAATTTATTAAAATATGGAAGGTATGGGTTAGTGTCAAGAAAAATCCTTCAACTTTTGTCCTATATACAAATTGTCCTCTGACAATAGAGAAATAAACTATTTGCAAAGACTGTGAGGTTATAAATCTATCTGGATTAATTTGCTACTCCATGCTTTTATTGCTTCTTTTTGGACTTGAGTTATGCTCTTTACATGCATGGCACTGCATCTTCAGCAGGTCCTCCCGGAGACTACTCTAAGGCATATGGAGAACATAGACATGATTGGTGACAGCCAACGTGGCTGCACTAAGAGCAACTCATGCCTGCCAAATTTGCTGGCTTTAATACAATGGGGTTACAGTATTGGTGGATAAAGGGAAGAGCAACTGATGTAATCTACCTGAACTTGTGCAAAGCATTTGACACTCTCCCACACAACATCCTTATCTCTAGAATAGAAAGCTGGATTTGATGGGTGGAATTTGATGGATGACTGCACTCAAAGAGATGTGGTCAACAGCTCAGTGCATGGTGGAGACCAATGTGATTGGTGACCCTCAGGGGCAGAGTGGAATTGAGTGCACATCAGCAAGTTTTCAGATGACACCAAGCTGAGTGGTGTGATTGATGCTCTAGTGAGAAAGGATGCCACCCAGAGGGACCCTGAAAGACTTGAAAAGTGGGCCTATGTGCAAGGTCCTGCACCTGAGTCAGGGCAATCCCAAATATTAATACAGACTGGACAGTGAGTGAATTGAGCACAGCCCTGTGTTGAAGGTCTTGGGAGTACTGGTGAATGAAAAACTAAACACAAGTTGGTAATGTGTGCTCACAGCTCAGAAAGCCTATTGCATCCTGGGCTGCATCTAAAGAAGTGTGGCCAGCAGGTGGAGGGAGGTGAGTCTGCCCCTCTACTCTGCTTTCAGGAGACCCTACCTGGAGTACTGTGTCCAGTTCTGGAGCCCCTAGCAAAAGAAGAACATGCAGATCCACTGAAGGGCCATAACGGTGATGAAGGGGCTGGAGCACGTTCCCTATAAGACAGGCTGAGATAGTTGGGATTGTTCAGCCTGAAGAAAAGAAGACTCCAGGGAGACCTTCTACTGGCCTTCCAGTACCTTCAGGAGGCCTACAGGAAAGCTGGGGAGGGACTTTTGACAAGGGCAGGTAGTGAGAGGACAAGGGGTAATGGATTAAAACTTGGAAAAGGGAGATTTAGATTAGACATTAGGAGGCAAGTCTTTACTACGAGGTTGGTGAGACACTGGAACAGGTTGCCCAG